TTTTTTTTTTTTCTGATATGGAGTCTTACCGATTTAGATTTCTTGGTCTTCCCGCGTATTCTATTTTTTGGGGATTTTAACTTGTATATCCGGACCATCCAATGGTGAGTGGTGAACACCTAATTGTAACACCAAAATGGAAAAAGTTGATTGAAAAGCAAAACAAGAGCAAGAAACACATGTAACAGTCTAAAGCTCATCCGTATTGTCTATCCACCAGATTTCATCACAATGAGGGAAGAAACATGTGAAGCTTTAATGAAGAAAATTAATTAAGCTGGCTTCATAGATGACGAGTTTGTGACATCAACTTTACCTCTTCGAAGTGGGTGAGTTTGAAATACTTCTTCCCAATTTCAGTATGCCTCACCCTATCAAAGCCTCTACCATCTGTCTCCACAAATCTGCAAAGATAAAGGAAAGGCATATGATGACTTTCAGACGAAAAAAAACAAAAGTTGATAGATACACAGAAACAGAAGTTGATAGATACACAGAACAACTCAGGCACCTGTAATATGAAAGTTTGTACATGAGGCAGTTGAGCATAGTTGGGGTTGCCTCGGAATCAATCCTGTACTGGCCATCTCTCTGTTCAACACAGATGGAACTCAAAAAATAAATCTACATTTTTGTTCAGTTAAAATTAAAGGGACATACAAGAGCTAAATATAGGCAGCAGGGCATCATTTAAATTAGAACCATCATTCAGCAAAGTGAGATCCATAGGACTCGACACATGTATTTCCCTTACTAGCAACAACATAAAATCTAGGGACACCGACACGTAAATGAAAATAGAGAATCTCTACAAGAATTGTTCGACTACTCAATATATAAGCTCAACAAATAAATGTGCTTCAAAAGTAGAACTAAGGTGTACTTGAACAATAACAAAGCACAGTTTCAGAACAATTTAATTTCCGAAACTACTATTTCATATAGCATGATATCTATCAGTAATAACTAGATATTTTCTCTTAAGTTAAACCACATCGGGTGAAGATAAAGGTTATATCTGCAGTCTTTCATACTTTACACCCATCAAGATGACTATACATAATCATTAGCCACAATTGGGAAGGTAAGCCTGATGGAAGTAAAAGTTCCATACCAAGTATGAAGGAAGATATTTGGAATATTTTAGTTTAAGTGAATTCAACTTGTGACTAAAACTGGAAAAGGTTCAAAAAAGAAGGAACAGAAAAAATAACAGAAGAAAGAAAAAATGAGGCTTAGGGGTTTCACTTAAAGGACAGATGTATCAGTCAACAGATTATCAAGCAATATCCTCATGAAACTGAATGGTGTAAAATGGAATGCAACACTTGAAAGCTAAAGCTACCAGTGATGACATAACCGAAGCAAGTACCAAACAAACTTCATCAAACCAAATATACTACTTATTAAAAGAATGACCATATTTTACCATCACATAGATTTGCTTGTTATAAAGCTATGAATTGACAATCCACCATTTTACAACAGACAGGCAAATAAATCAGAGAAGGATAGCAGACCAGTAGTAACTACCCACCAAATAATCAGGTTCCTTGATGTGAGGAAATACACCCCCGCCTATCCGAACCATCCAGAGAAACTTGTTAATGTCATCACTTGGATACCCAACAAGCCCTAAAGTGAAGATGCAGCTGTTAGGACAATATTCACTTCAAGAAAACACTTTCAAAATCAGGAATTAAGAATTAACCTCCAAAAACAACTAGAACATATTTCACATCCAATGAGTTAAAAATATCCCAAGCTGCTTTCTCAGGGGAGGACATTGCTGTACCAACAGTAGCAATGTGTGTGTTGTTCCAGGTGTTATTGTCAACAATAACAGTGCGGTTTGCCATTGCAGTAGTTTGGTAACCATAGTCCCACCAAGATGCAACCTTAGAAAGATCAGAAGCAACAAGAACCAAAAAGTTTAGATTCGATGTTTGCAGATAAAGTATAGCAGAAACATATTACAATATGCTAATGGTGCAATCATTCCAAACCAGAAAATCAGCTTTCCGGACATATAGACAACAAAATATTGTTCCATTTGGGAATGTGTGGACAGCACATTTAATGAATCTAGATTTTCGTGAGCACACTACCAGGCTTCATCAACACTTCCCATTCAAAAGGGTATAATAGCTCAGGAATAATGAAATATTGAGGACTTTTTCCACTACACCGTGCTACCAAGATGTGGAATCATGTAACATGTTCAACAACCATTTTTGCAGAAAAAGAAATTCTATTCAAGCATTAATGAACAACACAAAAAGACTATATTACTGCTATAAATAGCAAGATAGGAGTACCAGTGGTTATTATGCTAAGATAATACTCAACTCCAATATTACTAACTCAATGAGGCATTTCAGGCAATTGCTAATGATAAAATAATTTAACAGTGTCATAATTAGCACTTAGCAGATATTTACAAGAAATATTTAGCAAAAGGAAAAAGAAAATACCAAGGGGGAAATTAGGTACTTACTTTATCGTCCACCTCCGTATTATGACTCAACCAAGAATATGCCTCTCGGAAATCATCAAAGACGTGAAGACCGTCACGAGAATGGGAAGTTAGCACAATGGATGGAGCAGAATAAGCCTCTGCAGCAGCCCACACACAATGGACCTACAACAAAAATTTTCCTCAACTATCAAACGTGCATACAGCAGATGGGCAACAATGTGATAGATACTTTATCATTAGGTAAATCTACTCACAAACATATAAAGGTACTTCATATTATATAATCATGCAGAACTAGATATAGTCAAAAGTCAAATTGCTAAATGGGCTGTCATTGAGCTTAAAACATAAAACCAACGAAAGCTATATCCAAACTGATGGCATAATATAGAGAAAAATTGCAGCAAATATATTCAGTGTCCTTGAACAAGATCTTCAAAAGCACCGACACGTCCAAGTTCATATATAATCCTGCGACGTGCCAAATTGCAAATCCATGCTTTTCAAGGATTCTAGACATGTGTACATAATAAAATTCATGATGAACGAAAAGACATCTCATATCAATTCGACCAGAAAAAAAAACACATTATCAAGAAGAATCCAGTAGAAGTTGCTCCTGTGTAGCACCGATGGCAAGTAATAATGTCCAAGTTTAGGCTAGTCGAAAAAAATAAAATAAAATATTCAATCAGGAACTTATCACATACCACATAAAAAGCACCCAGCATAACAAGTAAGAAAACGGCAAAGAGCGAAGTCTCCAAGGGTAAGACCAGAAGCCTTCGTTCTATACGGGATACAAGTGAAACTTTCTCTACACTCTCCTTTTCCTTCTTTTTACTTTTTCTGCTAGAGCGGTCCTTTAGTGGGTCCTCATTCTTCTCAGTCTTCACTGCATCATTTTGCGTATCATTGTTGGTATCCCCTGCCTTAAAGTGATCACAGACAATTTAAACCATAGTTTATGAATCAGTTATATCAATTACACCAAGGATGGATTGTTTGCTTACATTGACATGGGGTTTTTGGACTGCATCAGGTAAGTGAAATTTAACTGATCTAGTAGTAACATCAAAAGCTTCTGAAAGAGCAATTCCAGACATTATACAAGCTGCTGGAGCAAGAACAAGCATCAGACGCACCTAACACGTTTCGAAGGAGGAATAGTAAAGACTTAGGATCGGAATAACAGGGAAACATGTGACTCATGAGTCTCAAGAAAATATCCCATACCATGACACCAGAAAAATATACTGATGTGACAATATAAAGAACCGCGAAAGAGCTTGCATCAGAAAGTGGCAAAAAGCAGGCCTGTCAGTTTAAAGGACTATTATTATCAGTTTCAACAAGGAGTATTATTAAAGCAACATATGAAGAATAATAAATACATGAAAGTTTGACAAGATTAATTCCACCTCCAAATGTAATAAGAACTTACAACGATGCCAGCTGGAACAAGAAATGCCAAGACATTAATGTCCATAAAGTATGACGGCCATGTAGGTGGTTGATGTTCGCTAACACTGGCAATAATTGGTATGTACTTGCTCGCATAAGTTCTGTTCTCATTTTCGTTTAGGAAAGAAAATACGAGGTGGAAAGAAAAATAAAGTATGTCAGCTGCTGCCATGAAAATAATTACAGATACAACAAAGAAGAAAGCTGATGGACTCAAGGGCTGACATAGAGAATAAATGTAAATTAAATAGATATTATTGGATTTACTATGAAACTTCAATTTAACAGGCCTTTGCCTTCCCCAAGAGCATGCATCGATATTACTTACGAAGTTGACTATTTGCAGATAAGCAGCCACTAACTTCTTTAACGACATTCCAATGCCCTAAGATACTCAACCTTATGGCTCATACAAAAAAGAACTCAAGATAATTATGCATATATATAATAAACAGACCAAATGCCAAATTTTTCATGATTAAACTTGAAACAGAGCTCAAATATTCAACAGGTGTGCCCAATGTGACACATGCACAGAGTCATGTTATATCTAATAAATGCTAATATTCTACCAAGCTCACCATCAGCTGGATATCAATATTAACTGAAAATTGATTTTAAACTCAATGGATATATTACTGATATCAACTGAAATTTGATTTAACCTCAACGCATATATTACTCAACTAGATTCAAAGGTCAACAATAAAGTAAATTGATGGCAATAAGCTTGTGACAGAATCATTCCCCGAACGTTTCATTACTCACTATCACTAAAATATAATATTTTACTAATAAGAGTTGGATACTTGGATTGGTTACATGGAACAAAACTGACTCAGAACTTTCAGACAAAAGGCCACAAATTAAAGCTTTGCATCCTCATACAGCAAGAAACAAGTATCTGTAAATGTATGCAACGACTTATCACATTGAGTACAAGGTAACATTGAGTACAAGGTAAGATAATCAGGAACTCACGGATCCAGCAAGCTCAGACTTCTTCCACTCCATCCTTTTGTTGGGCTGGAAGCTACCAATGCTACTAGTACAGCCAAAACAGCGAAGCAAACAATCCTGAATAGTAAAATAACTTAAGCAAACAGAGAAATTTTATGTCTAACTCTAGCAACATAATTGTAAATGAAGCTTCAGATATAAACTATCTCCTACAATTACAGTCCACATAAAAGACCCGTCACTCAATACAATAACAATTGAGGAAGGCATTACTAAAATGAAAGCTGTGTATATATATATATATATATATATATATATACACACACACACACACACACAACACCCTGTGATGTAACAGAAAATATACAACAAATACTAATTGCAGCCAAACCGCGTATGCTTTTTCTCAATATCCATAAAATACTTTATGCAAGAGATTAAAGAAAAGAGAAGCTTACAGCCCAACAGATACAACAAGAGTAACTGCTACTTTGAACATTTGGGGTGAGAGAATTCCTTTGATGTAATAAATAAGAGCCACGACATGTATAATGATGAAGACCTGAGCATTATCATTGGAAAAAACACACTCAGTAAACTAATGATATACAGCAATTAAATCAAAGTCCATTCCTAAAAAGGAAAACAAACATCAAACCAAGCTAAACACATTTAACATGCATACTTGATATAAGAAAATTTAATTTATTTTCCCAAATCCAACGGAGAAGCAGGCCATATGTAATCCTCATAAGGCTTCAGATTCAAGTGCACAAAGAAACATTATCTGGAGAATCCATTCTGGAAAATCAAGATGACTTCGCAATTTTATATTGGAAACTCTTAGTAATATGACCAACTTTTCGAAACTGCAATTGGCGGTTTATAAAAAAAGTTTCGACTTATCATTTTATTAATGTGGTACGAATGATAAGACAGTATGTGGCATTTGGTATTTATAGCTGAGATAATCTCTGCAGAAGTTTCTAAACTAAGGGGCAACAAGAAATTTCTACGATTTCTATAATGTAGTTATTTAATAAAGACATGTGCACTTCCAAACCTCCCTAATATACAATCTATTTGTAAATAATGTCCAATAAAAATAGTAAGATACAAATAACATTGAAAGAACCTTAAGTCACAAATATTAGAAATATATAATTTAGCGTATTATGTTTTCTAATATCTGATTAGAAATAACTACCATGGTCATTTTAGAGTGTTTTCTTTTTTATTCTCTTTTTCTATCACTATTGATATTTACCAACTAGATATTAGAAGCAGTACGAGATCTTCAATGATATTACAAATAATAATCAAACTCTGAACTACTTCCGAATTCAAATAACCAACTAATATTGTAGCCAATATATAGATGAAAGACCTTCCAAAGTATGCATACTCAAACAGATAGCAAGTCCACATCTAAAAACTATTAGGTTTGAAAAGCATTCTACTAAGAAAGCAATAAATAAACTCATGACCCATGTCAGCATATCAAACCATTATCAAAAAATAATTTAGCGAAAACAAGGTATCAGTTGATATAAATATTTTTTTTATCATTGTCAAATGGCTATTACCATTTTCAAACTACTCACAAAAAAGAGATCCTACATCCTATTAATTTTTAACTTTTTTTTCCAAGAGAAATCAAACAGTTCCAATTTTTATCATTCAATCACTAGCATCACTTACCAATCACACTTTCATATTTTCATATGAGGCGCCAGTAGGCTCACTACCACTACCTATAAGAGTTAATCCAAATTAAAGTGATGAAAGTGGACCCCAGCCCTAAGAACTTCAAATTAACATATACATAAAAGCATACTTCAAAAGTAACCAACAAGACAAACTCCAGTTTCACAAGAAATCGACAATATTCAAAATTCGTCTTCAGCACTATAAACTCGACATTGGTCGTGGAAACTTTAACCTTAAATCTCCAAATTCACAAGAAATCGACAAATACGCAAAATTCATTTTCAGCACTATAAACTGGACATTGGACATGGGAACATAAACTTACAAGAAATGATGCAAAATGCTCGGATGTCATGACAGCATTAAAACCTACAACAGGCACCAAAGCTGCTAACAATGTTCCCAAGACAACCTGCATTCCATTTTATAATGGTGTAGTAACAGTTTAGTCTATGAACAGCACATATAAAATAAATATCAAATGTAGGCAGACATACTCACCTACTTCATTTTAAAAATATAGACCAATTAAGCATATCACTGAAGTGCATAGATAATTGATATTGTATCTCAAAGGTTTATCAAATGCATAATATTTGTCAATGTCAAGAAAGCAACAAGATACTGGAAATTTCATAAATACACATAATGGTTTGAGAGGAAAAATAAACATCAACCGTGCAACTTCTAATTACCAATCACCTACTACAAATGACAAACACTAGTAACATTAATAATGAGAGGGTGTTTCTCCAGCAGTTACATGTGTGAATCCCTTCCCACAAACTTCACTGCATTCTCTAAGTCCGTGTTCTTTTACTTTCCCAACCAAGTGTTACTTTCAAGATTCAAAATGCGTTTTTATAGTACAAAAAAACTCCATAAATTCTCCTCAATCACAATACTTCCAGAAACATTCTCAATCAATACGACAACAAAAATTGAAGTGTAACCATGAAAAATCTCATAATTATCAATGTGATTCAGTTTATGAATTAGCGTATTAATCATATTCAATCTTCATGTCTGAGGCAAACAAGCAAATTGACAAAGCACATCAATTAAATTATTATACACTAGTACACTACGATACTTACAAGTGGAGCATAAGCAATGTAGAGCCTTGAAGAATAGCGACCAGTTAAAATGCACAGCAGAACATGCATCGGAATGAGATTTATAATAAATGTGTATCCTCCCCAAGAACAAACCTGAAAGATATATGAACGGGATGAACATCTCTATCGTTCATGAAACCAGGAGGAAGGAACATAAGTTAACTTACAAGAAGAGAAAGAAGGCAAGCAAACCTACCATGTAAAAATATGCTATTGCATTTAAAGTGGCATAAAAAAGCGATCCTGTGTTCAGAGTCTGTAGTCCACAGAAGAACCATTAGTAATCAGAGCATTACAGAATTTCAAGACCATCATTAACTATGAAGACACTCAGCATTAAACACATCAAAATTCACCTTTATATATAGATAAAAAGTTAAAATCAAAGCAAATATAGCCACAGCTTCATTGTCATAACTGCCTGCCACAGATCGAGAGATATATGATGGCACCTGTGCAACAAGTAAAGTACATAAGAATACTTGCATTGAACACCATGAATATATGAAAGTTCATTGCAATCCAATCAAATAACTCTAGCAAACAATATGCAGTGTAAGACATTAACATATGAAGGCCCCCAATTTTTTAAACACATCTTCACCCACAACATGCAACATCACCTCACACCTTTGAAGAATTCGAAGAAGAAAGGAACGGATTTCATGTACTAACAACTGAAGAAAGATGGTAAAGAAAATCATACCATCGCTAAAAGAGCTGCAGCAGTCAACCCAGCACCAGCACCTTTGACTTCCTACAAAGCAGACTTCATTTTTAATAACTAGAAAACAAGAACTCTTGTGCAAGTCTTAACCTGGATGTTAACCATAAGAACGATCGATTAAGTCATATATTAGTCAAAAGAACCTTTGTCAGAAGGTATGTTGCCCATGAAGCAAATGCGGAAAAGATAGGAGCTGTAAAGACACAAACAGTTTCCACGGACAGGGGAATATTCAAGGAGTTAAATATCCTGCAAATAAATTTGAAAAATCACAATTAGTGATGACTACAAGAATGTAAACTAAGTAACAGCAGATTTTTTAATCTTAGCTCTATCGAACTCTTCAACTAAATAATCCTTTTTTTTTAAGGAAATGAACCACTACACAATGATTAGTTCCTAAAATGGTAATAAACAAGAACGGTTATTGTCAATACTGTTAAAACCAAAATGTGCAACACAGACCTCCATAAAGTACCCGCAGTTAATGTGAGTCCAGGGTAAACAGTTCCCCCAATAACACGTCCAAGAGGATACCTTAAAGAAATAAGAATTACCTTACTTTGATATTAATCATAGTTGAACAGGAAAATACCCTTTCCAATCAAACAAGAATTATGTGCTTTCAATAACAAACATTACCAAGTTCGGTCATCAAACCAATTCCAGAAATCATATACTCCACTTTTTGTAAGATACTGCAATCAACAAAATTAAGGTCAACGTCCTTTTTCATTAATACAGATCCAGACACAAGAGATCACAGAAAAGGGAGTTATTTGCACATACAGACAAACAGGGAAGCAAAAAATTAAGAAATCAGACTGAACTGAAACTCATCACTTCAATGACCAGGTTAACAGTAACAATGCAATATGCATTGTTGGTGAGTTTGACGATTACCAGTCAACTTTTATGGGACATCGGACAATGGGAACAAAGATTTCAAGGAATTAGAATCATCCAATCAGTCAGGTCCCTAAAAATTGGAATTTTTTTCTTAGGACTTCTAAAAATCATGATTCATTGTAGCATCTTAGTACATGAATCTCAAACTTTCACATATTCAGCTGAGCAACAAAGTTTTGATGAGGTGACCCTTTTCATTAAACTTTCATACATGATTCTCTAGAAAAATAAAAAATAAAAAAATAACCTAACTTTCTAGCACGAACTTGTGTTGAGACAGAGAGAATTCTCATACATCCACCACACAACCACCACACGTACCTGAGTCACTCTATAATTGAAATAAGGATCGAACTCGTGAATCACACTCTCGTACTTGATAACCTATCCAACAAAAAGTTAAAAAAACCAAACAACCGAATATATAATTAGAGTCATCGCCTATACTCAAAATCCAAGGCAAAACTTGCAAACAACATCGAGCTGCATTTAAATGGAATGTCAACCGATCGCCGGAAATTATATATCTGAACGAATAGAGATGCAGAATACAGAGAGCAAGGAGACAAAGGGTGAAGGGTTTTACAGAAAATAGACGGATCGTGAAAGCGAGAGCGCCGATTAGCAACAGAATGAAAAAGGAGAGCACATTTCCGAAAGCGTGGCGGAGAATCGTCGGCTTTGAGGTCTCCGGCTCCGCCATTGACTCCGGCAATTCAGTCTTGTTAAAGTGTAAAGGTGGAGAATTTCACAAAACAACTAGCGTACTCCGAGTGTGAGAATTAGGACTGAAGGCGGGTTTTTGTGGCAGTAGACTTCAGCACAAGACTCCGTTGGGTAGGTAAAAGTATTTGCAAAAGACGTATATGTCCTTTGCAAAAGTATTTTTCTCTGTTTTTCAAAGTAAAATTGATTGCGATTGGATAATGCGAATGGGAAAGCAACGTGGTGTATTTTCATTTGCTGGTCTTACATGGAGATATTCTGACCCTAGATAAACATTTACATTAAGGAGTAACTTTTGTTAATGGACAATAAATTTATAGGATAGCTTTTTGTCGCCCCAAATTACGACTCGTGGCCCGAAAAAAATAATAAAAAATATTAAATTTACAAATATCTTTTTGGTAAAAAAAGTTATTGAAAAAATGCATTCAAGCGTCTATCAATTAAGCTCGGATGCTAAAGAAACGTCTAGAAGCTAAGCTTGACAACCAAATAAACGTCCAGCAAGGAAGTCTGACTGTGTAAACAAACGTCAAGTGCTAAGCTTGCAAGCCAAGGAAACGTCCAAATCCGAAGCCCGACCCTGAAGAGAAATGTCTAAATGAGAAGAGGCAACACATTTAAAACTTTTAAATTGCAAGCTTATTCTGCCGATAAACGTCTAACGGGAAAGCTTGAGGCCATGTAAAACGTCCAAGAGTTAATCTACGAAGCAAATCAAACGTCCATCATTAAAGCTTACCTATGAAAGCAAACTTCCAGAAGTTAAGCTTGAAAGCCAGGAAAACGTCCGACATGGAAGCTTCACTGTGAACACATACGTCCAAAAGCTAAGATTGGAGGTCAAGTAAACATGTACCTTGAAAACTTGAGACTATGTGAAACGTCCAAGAGTTAAGCTTTAAAGCACACCAAAATTGTTCATTGGAGCTTGCCTATAAAAGCAAATGTCCAAAAGCTATGCTTTGTAGCCAAGCAAACGTCAGATATGGAAGCTCCATTGTAATTTAAAAAAAAAAAAAAAACGTCATGAATCTATGCTTGGGAGTTAAACAAACGCCCCAAAAGGAAGCATAAGTCCCTATGGAACGTCTGATAGTTAAGCTTTGAATCCAAACAAACGTCCCAGAAGAAAGCTTAGGACAACAACAACCTTCTCAAAAGAAAACTTAATGTACCTATAAACGTCCAACGTGAAAGTTTCCTCAATAATTTGATTTTTTCCACATATCACCCAAACTACTTTCCCACATATCTACAAGAATCAACCTAACATCAACCCATGAAACAAATCTTTAAAAGGATATAGAATTGTTATTTTATAATATACACTTATTTTTAATATGATTTTAATATTAAAATCGTAATCATATTTAACAATGACAAAATATTTTTTAATAGAATCATATTTTATTAGAATCGTAATTTTTTATTGGTTTACAAATAATTCTCATTGTTGTGAATTGATCTCACTTAGATTATTAGTCCAATAGAAATGACCTCATTTTTTTAGTGAATCAAAGTAGAGGTGCATATATTTTAGTGAATCAAAGTAGATGTATTGTATGCACGTTCATGTTTACATCTTACGGGTTTAGAGTACTAGTCATGGCCATGGGCCGGCACGTGGTCAACAGGTTCATAATCGAGCTCGTAGTTTGACTAGGCCGGTTCTGGACCTCATGTGTAAAAAATTTTTACTCGGTGGGCCAGGTCTAGATTGGTCCTCGAGAAGTCCCGCCATATTTTCCTTTTTTTTATAATTTGTTGACCGAGTCAAGTCGACTCGTGGTCTGGTATTGGACCGTTGACAACCCGCTAATCTGGATTGTTGAAAGCTTTTGACTGTTGGAGATCCAATTGCTAGCTTTTTTATTTTTTATTTTTTAAATTCGATTCCAAGGTCCGGCTCTAGGTACAGTTTCTACCCGACTCGTCGGTTCCACAACGGTTGACCAACGGTCAAATTTTAAAATCTGACTGTTGGATCAGGTCAAATTTTCAAATTTGATTGTTGGAGATCGAAAAATAAGATTTTTTTTTTATTTTTCCTAAATTCGGTTCCATAGTCCGGGTCTAGGTTCATTTTCGACCCAGTCCGTTGGTTCCACAACATTTAACTAACGATCAAATTTCAAATATGACTGTTAGATCGTTTTGTCTGCTAAGATCAAATGATCAAGATTTAGTTATGAAATATAATTAATATCTTATTAGTCTATTTATAATTATGATAGTTGTGAATGGACGACACTTAGACTATTGATCCAATAAAATGAACCTTACCTTTTAGTGAATCAAAGTAGAGGTTTTTGAATGCACCTTCTTGTTTATATCTTACGGGTTCATCATACTAGTCACGACGTTGGGATGGCCCCGCCCGCAAGTAATTCTTCAATCACTTGCCTTCTTATATCCATCCATTGATTTTGATCATCCAAAACACAATTAGCTGTTATACGGAAACCGCAATTGGCGTCGCCAACAACGTCTAGATATCCTTCGACATATGGCAAAAGAAACGAAGGAATCTTATGACAACTCTCCCAATAAAGAACTGCATCCGGACAACCACCTACAAATTACAAAATTGAAGCTTATGTATGTCAACAAACGTCTAGACATAAAGCTTAAAGTAAAATATGAAATAGTTGTATACCTTGAGTGTTTAGGGAATTCGATGTCCCGCGACCACGCCCACATGAAGAATCACGCCCACGTGAGGAACCACGACCACGTGAGGAACTACGACCACGTGAGAAACTAAGACCACGAGAGAAACTGCGTGATGAACTAGGATCCCCTTGAGTGATGTTGAGACAACTTATCTCCCATGAAGACAAGTTACGACTCATAGAGGCTCTGCTCGCAGGTCGACCTTTACGTGATTCATTCACATCTAGTTCTCCATATTCTCCCTGATCAGGGTAGACATGAGGATCAAGCAAAGCATTTACCCTCCGAATATATTTATCATCTTTGGACCTGACAACAACAACAAGACTATCAAAATGTTGCAAATCTATCGACCCTTCTTCTTGTCGAACATTGACTTATAAATTGATTCGAAGAGTTGTCCAAAAGCGATGTAGATGATGTGGTTCAAAGAATATATTGTTCACGATTGCTCGATAAATCTCACAAGGGCATGGTATACCATGAGTAGTCTGCATCTTATGTTGAAACAAATTGGGCGTATCATCCCCCCAATCGGTTTTCATAAGTTCCAATGACTTAAACAACAAATTCAAACAATGGTGTGATGCATGATTTCTCAAGTATGTGAATGGGGGTACATCGTGATCCACGTTACTCTTAGACAATGATTGTTCTTGATCATATCTGCAATGAGTAAGTAAATGACAAGTAAAATGGACATCCAAGAACAAATACTAAAAGACAACTAAGCGTCTAAAAAAAATTCTGACATCAGAATGCATGCAAACGTCCCAGTGGTATGCTTAAAGAGATTAGAAATGTCTAACATGAAAGCGTTCAACAACTGCAAACTTCCTAGTGGTAAGACTTAAGAGCTTGCAAACGTTTATCAAAGAAGCTTGTAATAGCTCAAAACTTCCCCAGTGGAAAGCTTAAGTAGATAACAAACGTCTAACAGAAAAGCTTGTAGCAACTGAAAACTTCCCAAGGATATGCTTAAAGTGATTACAAACTCTAATACGAACGCTTGAAATGGTTGGAAACTTCCCAGTGGTATGCTTAATGGGCTTCTGAACGTCTGTTTCAAAAGCTTTAATACTGAAAACTTTTTTTTTGTCCTAATCCTTTAACACATAATTTTTATATTTAAATATTACAAACCATAACTATAATATAATTATGTGTCTGATTTGTGTATTTGTAGATCTAGTCTCTTCATGTATCGAAATAAAAAGAGTATCAAATGAACTGATGGATGTGTTAAGCCATTGTTTAAAGGCGGCATGCGCGCTTTCCACTCTACAAGTTGTTGTGTTCCCAAAGTGTTGTACTTGGTTTGTCCAGAGTCGAACAAACTTCTCCTTGTGTGGATCCAACCATGTGGACTCAAGATAATGCAAAATTTTTGGATGAGGACGCAATTTTTCTCTCATGTCCGCCTAGGCTTTTTGGTACTTCTCCATGGTGTTGGCTGGCCATACTAGTCTCCATGTGCCACTTTTAAAACGTGCAGCATAATCCCGACTGTTTACATTTTTATTACCACATAATTTTATGTACGCTTAACTCTCCACATCCTTGTTGATGTGGAAAGTACAAAGCAAGTGGGGAGTCTGAGCAAATTGTTCCTTAATGGAGCCATCAACTCCATCTCTCTGCCAGTCAAAATGACTGTGGGCTCAACATCATTCCCAAACAAAATCCGTAAGTTCTTCAACACCCATCGATAACTATTAGCTGACTCATCCTTCATAATTACATATCCAATCAAAAAAAATTATTACCAGGACTCATGCCAATAATTTGGAAGAAAGACATCCCGTACCTGTTTGTCTTGTACGTGGAGTCCACGCCAATGACCCAAGGGTATGCTCTAAGTGTATTTTTTAACTCTGGATGGACCAAGAACACATGAGTTAGCTTCTTTGTATCATGATCTCTAAGTGATTGAGTATCATATTCGTTGCCCTTAGTTAACTTGTAGAACTGTTGTATCATACTTCTTTTCCCAAATGGGGCCCTCCTGAGCTTTGCCTTATAGTTGTAAGTTTGTCTGATGTGACAGTTGTCCTTCGGAAATGATTGTTGAAGGGCCAACAATATGTTTTGAGGCTTTGTTTGAAAAAGAACCATCGATCGAATAAGTTTTTTCGCTCCAACACTAAGACTGCTAATTTGTTGATGTTCTCTACATATTCAGCGGGCTCATGATTGTGTCTACCCTCATCACATTTAATAATCCAACTATGGCACTCCAAATTTGAAGTAAAGTTTTTCAATATTATCGTGAACTCACAATCACAAACAATGGTCTTTGTG